GCGACTTAGAAATGAGGAACCTAAATTCGCGAAGTACGGCTGGGATGGGAAAAGTGAACAAGTTGGACCGAAATTCTATTGGATATTCATTAGGGTTATTAAAAGACGCGCTTAAAGCTACTCTATAGACGAAACTCCATAGTCAAATTATAACAAAGTAGCTCCAAGTTTATTCATCTTTCTTATTTATTTACTTGAACTAAGTGTTATCTACCACTAAAACTGCACCCATTTCTCAGAAATATTATTTCCTTTTCAACCACAAGTTCGATTAAATGCAATGCTRTGCAAGTACTATATATTCGGCAAATACATGCCTTCTCGTGAGAATATGTTATGATTTTTGCATATAAAACGCCCTCAATCCCACATAAAAGTTATGTCACTTCTACAGTCAAACATTTTTAATACCAAAATATTCACAGTAATTTTCCGCATGAATAAAAATCAAACGCAACCGCACATTTGACACTTCCTACAGGATACTTCCACGAAAGAATATGCGATTAATAATACAAATGCAAATGGGACACACTTCAAGCTAAGTATGGCATATTGGGCGGGAGTAAAGCGCTATAAATTTGAATTCTCCAGACGGCAAGAAAGCGCACAGAAAAAGAGTAGAACTCAAATCGGAGGATTCCAATCGAAATGTGTCATATTCGCTTCGCAGCAAACATATCAGCTACATTTCGGCGCTTCTGCCACTACAACAAGTACAAATAAATTTGGGTTTCGTATGTGTAACGCTTAGAGTGTTGCCGGCATTTGCATATTTTAATATGTTTTTCCAATTTTTGAGTAGACTACTGTGGGAACTTGCAGAAGGGAAATGCAGAGAGGAACTGTGAGAGAGTGAACACGCTTTTGCATTTCTCTGAATTTTTTTTACCATTCCTCCACCTCTCCATGTCTGTTGGTTAACTCACTATGTTTGCCTCGAGACTCCTGCTGCAAGCGTCTAGTAATTGCTAGTACTGCGCTGCGAAAGTTTCAGTTGCTTTTGTCAACAAAATGTGCGTTGCATGTTTGAGTTGTCATTTTAGGTGAAATTTCGCTGCATTGACAGAGTTTYTACACGCGTACTACGCTGACAGGAACATTCACCTAACAGCAGGGAGATGTGTTGAAACATTAGGGTGGTTGTAATTGTTTTCGAATAGATTTCTTTAGAATGGCAGAAGCTTTTATCTGAAGAATTGTTTTGAGAACCAAGGTTTATTTTCAATGTCTTTGAGGATTAGCATTTGTTGATTAAAAAATTTGTAAACAAGCAAATAATAGCCACGCTAGTAAGTAAACTAAATATAAACACGACTACTATACCGATGTGATAGCTTATAACATTGTATTTCAGTGTAGTTGAATTAAACTTTTTTTTTAWTTKRAAAAAAAAATTATTATTCAGGCCACCTTAATGTATATAATGTAAGTAATAAAATGCCTGCTTATTGATAGAAACAAATTCACAATTAATTTTTACTTCGAAAACAAATATGAAAATAATTTTTTAATCGTGGCACCCTAATGTCACAAAAAAGTAAAAACTTCGATTTTCTGATAAAAAAATTTCGTATTTAAGGATGACCCTAATGCAAATATTATACACAAATTTTGYTATCACTCTGTGAATGCCAGCCATAATAATGTTGAACTATCAAAAATTAGAGAGAAATTAAATTAAATGTCACCATAATAGATGGACATTTTTTGTTTAATTGCATTTTGTACTTCATAAATATATAAAGTTTTGGCAGCAATGTAATAGAGAAAATATGAAAATTTAATTTATATGCGAAAATAAGGCCTCCCTAATACACAAACTAGAAGTAAGAAAAAACTTCTGATTTCTGATAAACAAAATTTCATGAGCAGTTTGTCTTACTTTATATAAAAAATGAAAAATTWAAGAAATTTCTTATATWAGGACTACCCTAATGCAAATATTATAAGAACAATATTTCAATGATATGTGAACACCACCGATAATAATACTGAGCTATCAAAAATTAGAAAAAATTTAAATATAGTGCCACCCTAATACATGAAAAAATTGTGTGTAACTGCATTTTGTACTTCAAATATCAATTTCTKGCAGCAATGCACGTGAAGGTAGCGTTTCAAAAAATTACAAATTTTCTCATATGCTTAAGTACCGCCCTTATGTAATCAATATACAGTAATCATCAAAAACTTGCAGTTCCACACATGCCTTCTACATTTATTTCTCTTCGAATTTCCACAGTTGCCACAAGTGCACTGACATTTATTGACCGCTTGCCACATGGCAATGCATACAAATTTGTTGTAGTCTATGSATTTTATATAACCCAGTTGATGCAAACTTGCCATTGCTGACCGTTGCTGCCATTTTAACCAATTCAATAGCTATATTTTATTACTCTTAGGTCGGATGTGTAACAAGTCTGGATTAGGGTAGTTCTTTAGTGTAGAAAAAAATGATACATTTTCTTTTTTAAATTCTAAGCAGTCAGATATACTATTGATAGGGAAAGTGGCATATCTAATATATAGAAACTAAAAAAAAAAATATCGATAGTTTTCAGTAGATTTTTTTTCAATTTAAGGCAATCGTTAAAGCCATCTCTCTCAATTTAAAGGTTTATATTTAATTTTTTTTTTGGGCTAATTCCATAAGACTCAGCTATAAATAAAATCATCCAAAAGTYTTCTTWAGGACCACCWTAATGCAAWAATGTTAAATCTCTTTCAATTGAAAATKTATGAACTAATTCCACGACTCTAAKCTATAAAAAATAATATTTCAAAATATTTCTTAAGARCCACCCTTATGCCAACATTCCAAATCACTCTCAYTCACTGATCTATATTTTTATTTTTGAGCAAGTATCGTTCAAGACGCTATGAGCTTGAGAGAATTGTAAAAAATCTAAGGACCACCCTTATATTTATTATATATTATAAAAGTATTTCATTTGCAAGACTTAAATTGTTATATTTGAATAAGCAGTCTGGTGAGTATGGAAAAATTATTTTTAAGAACCACCCTATTACTGCCTACTCTTCTTAAGCTTATGATGGGTTTTCTTCAAACAAGTTTCTTTAGTCAAACTTTTTTAGAACTACCCTATTAATATTTTTTTTGCCCTGAAATATTCACCGTCACTTAAATTTTATATTTCGCCATTTTTCGTCTCATTCTCAACCAATCACACCGACATAAGCAGTGCACCCTAACTAAGGTCTCCTTTCGTTTCTCATTTCTTTATGCCTTTTTTGCTTTTTTCYGTATTTGCAGGCAAATCCTGATGGTAATATGACAACGTCAATATTGACTTTTACGCCAACCATCGATGATCGCGGCAAATTCCTGTCGTGTCGCGCCGAACAGAGCATGATACCGGAATCGGGCATGGAGGACGGTTGGAAATTGGATATTTACCGTAAGTTTATTATTGATTGCCCAGCTGCTAAGCGCCGTCGGCACTTTATGTATATACATTGTCTGTGTGTGTGTGTATCCACTTGTGTTTGTATGTTTATATATTTGTATGCGTGTCTGTGTGCGCGTTTGTTTGCGCGTTTGTGTCCGGCAATGTTGCACTACACTCTGCCGCAATTCACAACTCGCAACTGGCAAGCGCAACTCCAATTTGCAACTAAAGCAGAATTTCGCTGTCACAGCAAATCACTGAAGTTTTTATTGCCACGAAATTGTTATGCAATCACATACATACATAAATACATTAGCATAAGCTGCATGAGAAGCAGTTTCCGCTGTTGCAGCTGCAATTGTATGAAGTTGTTGTTTGTTGTTGYTATTGTGGCATGGTTTYTATYGCAATGCTGCAAGGATTTGCAGGAATTTTATGCGCTCAAGAAAAGTGCAGAGCGCGTGGCAATGTATATATATAATGGATATAAATATGAATATGTATATGTATGTGTATTTATATATGTATGCATATAGATATATACAAGTAGGTATATTTCTATATAATGTGTATATGTTCACTTATACTAACGCATAGTTAATATATCTGCGATTATTGCGAGGCATAAAATAAAAATGCCCGCTGCACAATTGTGGCCGCTACGAAGTAATGCGAAKTGTAAGCTGAAGTAATTGGCGCTTTATTATGTCGAAAATATGCTATAATTTTAATTTATGAAAGTGCATTGCGAAAGCCATTTAAATTTGATTGCCTTTGGCCGCGGATTCGCAAGCAAGCATAAATCTAGCGCGGCTTTTGTAGCTCGGAAGACTATTTAAGAGGAAAATTGTATATTATTTTTRCATTAAGTAAGCTTTTATTTTGTATATGGCAGTTATACAAGTCTTGTAATTCAGGTCAGGCCCTTTTCGACGACCAGCTGCCATTCAATGTAATTTGCCAATGCCACTCTGAATGAAACCCTCTACGCTATTGGCAAGAAATGGGACTGTCGATCACTACACTACTTCTCTTGAGTCAAAGTTTTCACTAGTGAAATGATTTGCCCTAGACAGGAAAAATTATGGATTTCAACGCAACAAACAAAAAAATGAGTTTTTGAAAATTCTACACCACTACTAAGCTTTTATACTGGGACATTCTTCTTGGAGAGTTTAAGTATACTTTTTAGAAAAGAGCAAACATTGGCAATTTGAAGGTAAAACAGTAGAGTGTAAGGCTAACAAAGTTCAATTCAAGATAGATATCAGAAGAGTTGTGCTAGAGATAGCACCTCTTCACTCAGGCAGCATTAAATAGCTTTCTCATTAACTCAAAAAATTAATATTTTTGTATGGAAGATTTGGCGGCAGACAGTTCAAGTATTATGAGTATGTTTTTTCACCAAACTTCTTGTATGAAGGCGCTTTCATTTGTAAGCTCTTGAAAGTAGTTGAAAACRGCGAGAATAATATTAAGTCTTGATAAGAAAATTATAAGATAAACATTTCAGGATAGCTATAAGACACATAACACCCACGTCAAGTGCACCTCAGCCAAACAATTGAAAATGCTCCCTAATCTAGTATAGACTAGCAAGTATAAGCATTAAAAGCTTATTTCTTTTGTTTGCAGCAACTCAAAGTGATATTACCTAAGTGACGAAWGAAGAAGGCTTAAACCCGCGCTTTAATCACTCCAAAAACTAATCACTCTCACAGTTGCCTAAATGCGTCGCATTTTAATTGATTCTGCTTCGTGAGAATTTTAAGCGCTAACTCTACGTTGGCATTCACTTTCATTCAAGCAAATCCAATATTGTCTGACTGTTGATTTAATATTCCTATTTTGCATAATACACAGCCGTCTGGCACGTTTCCTTTGAAAGCAAAGTACAAAGACTTAACGCGCCACCTTTTCATCTCTTTTTCTATAGCTCGATGACTTGGTCCCCTACACCTTTACTTTATTTAATTTGACAGTTTAAAGCTTTACCTRACACACGCCACTGTGTTAGCAAACGTTCGCTTCGCTCCATAAACAAGTAATATTTGATAGCCTTTGGCTTTTAAGGCTGCCAATGTGGCCGCTGTTGGCCGTTAAGCCCCTGTTGCCGCCCCTGATTTGGGCGTTTGGTAAATAATGAGCAGACACCTGATGGCTGCACACTTTTTTGGCACTCTCTACTTTGTTTTATATACCGTGAATAGTATGTATTAAGTTTGTTGCGAAATATTTATTCTCAGTAGGTAACGTCGGCGATATTACGGGGTATTTATAAGTGATAGGCGCRACAAGCTGAATCGATATAGTCACGTCAGTCGATCTGCCAAGCCCTTAGKTTTTGAAATATCGATCTGAAGTTTAGCACATCTTATTTTCTACCCAAGAGGTTTATCATTTGTTAGAACCGACGATAKCGGACTCTTAWAGCGAATAACTSTCATACAAACTGATAGAGCAAACTCAAGTTTTTGTATGGAAAACTTTTCATTTRACAAGATGTCYTCATGAAAYTTGACATGGRTCATAAAACTAAAGAAGTAATGCAGTGTCCGTAGAAATTATTCAGATGGAATAATATTATCATATAGCTGGAAKASAAACTGAACGTTCGAATTCAAGTAATTGTATGGAAAAMTKYTTAATTTCTATAGATATCTCCACGAAATTGAGTGTGAGTTATTACCTAGGGCAATAATGAGATCTCCGAGGAAATTGTTCAGATCGAACCAMTATATCAAATAGCTCTCATACAAAATGTTCGMTCAAACTCAAGTCCTTGTATGAAAAACTTTTTTATTTGACGAGATATCTTCACATAATTTGGCACAGTTTAGTATGTAAGGTATTGTCATAATATCCATGAAAATCATACAGATCGAACCACTATTATATATAGCTATCATACGAGTACAAAATGATCAATCAAAATCAGGATASAAATRTTTTAAGCGTTTTTATGCTATAAAAAGTGCACCTGTAAAAGGTATTATTGCTTCAWTCCAGCAAAAGTTAACGGGTTTCCTTTTTTATTATTTTAGTTTTTGAATTTTGCACACTTTTTGCCGCCACTGTGGTGTGTTTGTCGACAGTAGTGTTAGTGGTAGTGTGTAGCAGCAGATAAATCGCATTTGAAAGCTGCAGTAGCAGTTCCGTTACAGTCACAGTTAAACATTTTTTCTCTTACTTTTCCATCCGAAGTTCCAAAATACTTTTGGCGCTAGTTGGCGGTGATGTTGTTGCCCATTTTGCTGTAACCTTCTTGGTATTTTTTTTGTGTTGTTATTTCTTTGTTGTTGTTGGTGTTGTTGTTAGCAATATTTTAGCGCTGCTTGTGTTGGCGCACATACACAATTCGTGCAGCTTTAATGGCATTTGGCGCACGCGGCCGTTTGCTGTATTGAATTAAATGTTACGTATACGCCACCTGCACCGCCTGCGAGTATCTGCCAAATGGCAAGGTGCGTTGCTGCTAACGGCTTTTAGCTGCCAGAAATCGACTGTTTGGGGTTATGCACCATGCTGGCTATTTGAATTGCACTTATTCGGCAGACGAGAGCTGCTTTGAAGACACACACACACAAACACAAAATGGCACAGTACACAGAGGAGCAGCAGCAGCGTACGCCACAAAAGTGCTRATGAAAGGTGGAAAGGTAACATTATTGTGCTTTATTTACCTTATTTTGGCACACGAAAAAGTGTGAAGTGCCGTTGGCAACACCGTTTGGCAAGCGGGCAGCGTTAATATAAGGCAGCTCAGTGGTGAAGTGCCGAATTGAGTGTATATGTGTACGTAAGTTGTGTGCCAATTACTTGAAGATGTGCAGACTTGCTTCATAGCAGATTGCTACGACTAGAAGCATGTATCAGAAGTGCGTACACAGTGTGCTAAAGTGTTTGCTGCCTCACTTTCTAAGGACTMCGTACAGGAAAGCTGAAGACAAGCAGCAAATTTGTACTTTTGAGTGTTTCATGCTAAAGACGCGATGACTTTTGTTGTCTGAAAGCATACAAGTACACGCAGAAAAGGTGTAGGGCTAACTGGCAAATGATATCAAAAAGTTCAACAAAGGTATATACATACATTTAAAGAGCGAGCGTGGGTTTCAAGCATTTATAATTGTTTAGAGAAGCAAGGGACAGCAGTGCAGAAAAACAATGAACTTTTCGTGGAATTTTTAATTAACTGCAGCTGTGTACATTTTAAATGTGTTAAACATTAATTATTGCCAAGCACTAACAAGCAAGTGAGAAATAAATTGTAGTTTTATAAYAAAACTGAAATAAATTGGCAAAATATGTTAAATATGGAGCGAATATTAATTAAATTTTGCTTAATTAATACATTTTTAGGTATTAAGAGGTAGAAAAATTATTTTGAATACGCTTGATATTTTTACAATAAGACATTTTTATATCGAAATACTGCCAGCCGAAAAAGTATTTTCGTATTTTTAAACAAATTTTAAGTTATTTTTTTTTTATATTTACAACAATAGATATATAAACGAATATGTACTATTTTGGTCGACCACTTTTTGCCATCTTTCCGCTTTAGACATTACTCCATCAGTGTAAATCGAAATTTCGAAATTTCCAGAACAGAAGCGAGCGAACCCTTTTTGTGCTACACGAACTCCTCTCCGTAAACCTTTTCCCTATTTTACACAAAAATTTCAAAATATAACGAATTTCTTCATTATTTTCACCAATTTTTGAACAACTGTACCTTTTTTGAACTTCTCCGAATTTAAATTTTGCAAAAATTTTACGAAACGCTGAGAATTTTAATAAAGTCCGCCAAAAACTTAAGAGCTGCTATCAATTTCTTTGATTACTATGGTGTCATTCACWATAAATTCATTTCATAGGGTTAAATAATCAATAAAGAGCACCACTTGGTTGCTGTGAGAAATCAACGTGAAGCACTTCTTCATAAATGATAATGAGTGTCAGAAAATCATGTTCAAGACTTAGTTTGGACTAAATTTGCAAAACTAAAA